GCCGCTCTCTCGGCTGGAGGTGAACTCCTGGCCCGTACATTATTTGGATCTCAAGACCTAGATTTCTGAAATTGGGGACATCTCACCATTCAAGTGCACCGAATGAATAGGAAAACAGACCATCAATGAGCTGAAGGAGTAAGAAAAGTGCGGTTCGGGTTAAATCAACAAGCGTGGCAGGTGTTGACTGGTCTTAGGCAAAAATATTATGTTTGTTTTCAGCTGACGATGGTTTGATCGACTTGACATACCATCATAAAACAGTCTTCCCATTGATGTTTCGCAAAAATTTTAAAGAAAAAAACCTCAATTAGTTCCGCAAAAGCGCTGAAAACTACTTAGTAGTTAAAGCTGTTCCGAAAATACGAAATTGGTAAGAAGCTAGCAATGGTTAATTGCTGCCATAGCCGAGTGAATTGTTTTGCTCATGATTCATGAACGTGACAACGGCGGGCTAAGGTCACCGAATGCCAATGACACTTTATCCCTGCCGGCTTCCGCAGAGGCCCTTTCATTGTTCGGGTTCTGATAAAATTTTGGAGATTATAGTATGAAAACAATGCTATATAAGTTTTATCACATCAGCTTTTTCTGGTGAGTTTTCGAAGAAGAGTGCACGAGTCTTATAATCTCGACTGGAAGTGACGTTCATTGAAAAACGAGGTATAATAGTTTTCCATTATGCATAACATCTCTAATAAATACATTTTCCGTTTATGTGTTATCATATATATTATCACAATAATACCAGTACACATGGGGCGTTTCAAGCGCCACCCAATAAACAAACAACATCACATCACGCAGTAACAGTTCATGAGATGTTTGCAGAAGAGTAGTTACTAATGTCCATTCTATGGAGACGTTTTTGCCACCGGGTTTCGTTTCATCACACTTGGTTCCGCCGCACACAATGGCATCACAGCATCACAGTTAGCACACCCGTGTTCCGTCTATACTGCAGGTGGCAGGTACGAGTTATTCAGCACCGGCGGCAGGTACTTGGACGGCAGCTTCCGCGCAGGAGGGAGATACGCCTTGGGAGGGTCGACCGGGGGCAGATAGGTCTTAGGAGGATCAACGGGGGGAGGAAGATAAGCCTTAGGAGGATCCACGGGAGGAAGGTAAGTTTTGGGAGGATCCACGGGAGGGAGGTAAGTTTTGGGAGGATCTACGGGAGGGAGGTAAGTTTTAGGAGGATCTACGGGAGAGAGGTAAGTTTTAGGAGGATCCACGGGAGGGAGGTAAGTTTTGGGAGGATCCACGGGAGGGAGGTAAGTTTTGGGAGGATCTACGGGAGGTAGGTAAGTTTTGGGAGGGTCTACGGGAGGAAGGTAGGTTTTGGGAGGATCCACAGGAGGGAGGTAAGTTTTGGGAGGATCCACGGGAGGGAGGTAAGTTTTAGGAGGATCCACGGGAGGGAGATAGTTCTTAGGAGGATCCACTGGCGGCGGCAGGTAGCCGTTCGGCGGGTCGGTGGCCTTTGGCGGCGGCAGGTACTCCCGGGAGGGCGGCAGGTAGCCACCGGGCAGTGTCAGCTCGGTCTGCTTCTGCGGCTCGTGGGGGTGCGGGTGCGGCTCGTGGCTGTGTGAACCTCCACTGTGGGGTAGCAGTGCTCCCCAGCAGCCAGCAGCCAGCAGCAGTAGTCCTGCGGCCACCTGTAAACGCACGAACACGGAGTGAGAGAGTGCGAGGGCACCCCTGGAAAAGTAAGCCGATAATCTATGACTAAATATTGATTCTTGTTCTAACTAAAACAAAATTTGTCTTTTTTTCTGCTTCACATTGGTTAAGGCTGTTTCTTTTTTACTTATTCTGGCCTAAAAGATCCTCGTCTTGCCTTTAGCTGAATCCGTATTGTCAAATTTGGTGACGTATCGATTACATTTTGTAAGGTTACAAAAACGTTCAGTTAAATTTTCAGCAATTTTGGAAATACCCAATGACATATTGAATTTATTGGCCGAACAAGGCTAAGTTGCCGACCATGCTCTCTACTGTAGCGTGTTGCACCTACCTTCATGGCTGCGTCCGATCCGAGTGAATGCCGAAAAGCACACCGAGTCCGCGAGTGACCGTCCCGGTCCGTGATCCAGATGGAAGCCCGCTCCGGGCCGCACGGTGACCTTCACTAAACAGTCGGCACCGCGCCGGCGACTTTATACCGACCTGCAACGGCACGCTCTGGAAAGCCCGCCCCCTGTGACGTGCCGCTGCCGCCGCCCCCGGCCGGCCGACCGGCCCCCACGAGCGGCTGCGCGCTGACCGGCCGCGCGCCGCGGGGTCAGCTCGCAGTCGACGCCGCCACGCGCTGAAGGTCGGGCGGCACGCGACGAAGGCCGGACACTGACCTGCCGTCCGCGGCACGCCTCCTAATCCTGTCCGGAAGCAGGAAACGGTTCAGTCTGCAGCCGAAAGGTAGCCGCTATGGACGATCTCACTGACCTTTTTATTGAGAACCTCGATGAGTGATTGACCCCGGCAATGGCTGCTGCACTATCGACCCGGTTCCAGTGCTTTGTCCGAAGTGCGCTACCTTTTGACTTTGTTTTGACACAGCATAAGAGCTTTGGATAGCCTAAATTTTACGGTGTTTTAACGTTGAGCTTGTGCCTCGCATCGACAGTGCCTTCTTGTGCCGTAAACAAATCGTTTCTCATGTCCTGCAAGTGTATAGGTATCATATTTGTTCATCCATAGACCACTACATGCATATTTAGTGGTCTGGATATATAATGTTCTATGGTCCATTCTTTGCGAGTGTTTGGAACATCTCATTTCATGGAAATGGACGGGTTTTTGTGTCCGCTCAGTGTGCAAGAGACAGACAAATTGTTGACATCGGCGACGGTTCCGATAAGCGTGTTTGGTGCACAGAAAGAGGACAGGAGGCCAGGCCAAACGATGCGGGAGATGAGGTGTACATGTTTTCCGAACACGAGGAACATCTGGAGCCTCACTGGTTTTGTCCAGCCCCTACGCTCTCACGGTAAAACAAAGCATTCTCGTTATGCAGAGAAATTTCCCATAATCTGTCTGCCGACAATTGAAAACTTCAGGTGTAAGCCGCTCAACATCAGCCAGTCCTTTCTATATGAAACTCTACTGTGGCGTTGTGACCGTCCTAGACCGACCATCCGGCCGGTGCCGGTCTTTGTGTTCAGCGGTATTAGCCGTTCAGCCGGACTGCGATTTCCCCCTGGCACACGCGATCTGCTTCATCAGGCTTAGCCGACATGGCACGAACTTCTCATGTTTCAGAGAGACATCATCTGACTGTAAAGCTGGGCGCTCTGGTCGGTCTAGAATTCAGATCCAAGACCGACGCTCTACGGGACTGGGCAAAAACTAGAACGTTTTCTCCTAAATCTCGTTTTGAGATTTTTCGAAGCATCATTCATCCTACTCTTACACACTTGATGTTTTCTGCTTTCTCTTCCAGGCCAGAGTATGTCAGCAACATGGTCAAGGGTGTGGCTACAAGGTGTTTCAAGCGTAGGTCACGATGTAGGCACTGCTCTTGCGTGTCCGCGGTTATACCTATAACTCTGTAGGTACCTTGTCTTTACCTATCGGTGAACTGACTAGTGTTTGAAAAGTTACACTGTCCTTACATTTTCATATTTAGTTGCAAAATTGGACATACGGCAACAGCAGCACTCATCACCACTCGGCACTCATCGAGTGGGTATATTCATCCCGATATTTTTATATGCATGTAAATGACTTCAAGGTTTCTGAGGCGATGGTAGTTGACCTCAAATCCGGGTCTCAGGATACATTCCTTGTAACATTTGTTGAAAAAAAAACTAGGAATTATTAGGTATATGCTAGGTCCTGTAAGTTTCATCTCTCTGTGAAAGCTGCCCTGGCACTAGGGCGCTGCGAAGCTGCGACATTTTTGGACCGTGCAGAGGCTTACTTATGACGTCAAAGGTCAGTGACCTTAAAGGATCAAATTCAGTCAGCAAAAGGTTGATAGATATTATAAATATTTGCCGGTCCCGTAGCTCAGTTGGTTAGAGCGTTGGACTCCGCGTGGTGAGAGCACGCGTTCCCGGTTATGACAGTCCGGGTTCGAAGCGCGACGGGCGCTCGACATTTATGGGCCTCCTGACAGGTATGGTTGCGGTTAGTGGCAGGCCGTAGCCAGGCGAAGTCAGCGAGGGGACCGGCCGTGCGCGGCTTTGTGCGCACGTTAAACTTTGGACTCTAAATTCTGCCATAGAATCGGAATTGCGCGATCGGAGGGTAGAGGGCAGGGTCACCGCAACAAGCTTCGCTTAGCGGTGGCTCTGTCCTTGTGAATCCTTCCCATCAAAAGGTTCGGACTAAATTTATAAAAAAAATATTACTCCTGAATGATTTCAACCACAAATACCGAAGTCCGAAAATATTGTGACGTCATAGGAACAGTCGCTACTTTTTCAGTCATTCAAATGGCTATATCTCATGCAGTTTTAGAGATATTTTGTTACTTTTTGGCATGTGTAAGGCCAGTAAGGGGTTCTCAAACATATACTCCGGTATTTTTTTTTGAAAATTACCCCAAATTTCCAAAACATTTCAAGAAATCTAAATTTTGAGTTAGAAAATCTCTAGATCTAGATATTTTTACATTTTGGAAATTTCGAGATAGCCATTTTGTTTGCCATGCTTTTTATACCTACGGTCGAATTTTTCAGTCGCTAAGTTGAAACCCTGATTTTCTGCGATTTTTCTCCGTGAACAACTTTTTCGACGAAAAAAACGCCGAACATGACCTCATTTTGACCTCTATAGCTCGTGACCTGAGGTGACCTGGGACCTATTTTTTCTCAGAAGTTGTGTAAAATTGATGTCCGGAGAGGTACTGAAAGCTTCAAGTCAAAATTCGCAGCTGTTTCAGAGTTATTTGTGAAAAACCACAGGGGGGCCTTTGCCCTCCCCCCCCCCCCCCCCAACGGGTCGCGGGTTAATGTACTGGAGCTGACATCATTCTTCCTTTCGGTAGGAAGACGATGGACGACATACAGTTCCGCTCAGCCGCTCACGAGGTGATAGACTATATCCTCCAGTACCAGCGGACGGTGCGGGATCGGCCAGTACTGTCCTCTGTGGAGCCCGGCTACCTGCGCCGGCTGGTGCCCTCCGAGGCGCCACCTACGCCCGATCGCTGGACAGACGTGCTGGCAGACATGGAGCGGGTCATCCAGCCGGGCATGACCCACTGGCACTCGCCGCACTTCCACGCCTTCTGTCCGCTGGCCAACTCTCCGCCGGCGCTGCTGGCAGAGATGCTGGCGCACGGCCTCAGCTGCGTGGGCCTCAGCTGGGAGGCGGCGCCGGCCTGTCTCGAGCTCGAGGTGGTCGTGCTAGACTGGCTGGTGCGCCTGCTGGGTCTGCCTAAACACTTTCTCTCCCAGTCAGGCGCTGGAGGCGGCGTCATCACCGGCTCTGCCACCGAGGGCGTCCTCCTGACCATTACAGCTGCCCGTGAGAGGGCGCTGAAGGACCTACGCCGGGACCAGCCCGACCTGGACGAGGCGACTGCGCGCGGCCGGCTGGTGGCCTTCGCCTCCGCCCAGGCAAACCCGGCCGTTTTCAAGGCAGCTGCCTCGGTTGCAGTGCGCATACGCGTCCTGCCGACTGGCGATGAGTGCCGCCTGCGGGGAGATACTCTGCAGGCCGCCGTGGAGGAGGAACTGGCCGCTGGGAACGTCCCCATCTACATCCTGGCCACTCTGGGCACCACTGGCACATGCGCGTTCGACCCGCTGGACGAGCTGGGAGCCGTGTGCCGACAGCACGAGCTGTGGCTGCACGTGGACGCGGCGTATGCGGGCGCCGCGTTCGTCTGCCCCGAGTTCCGCCACCTACTGAGCGGCGTGGAGGAGGTCACTTCCTTCAGCTTCAACGCCCACAAGTGGATGCTGGTCAACTTCGAGTGCGCGGTACTTTGGGTGCGCGACTCGGGCACATTCACGTCCGCACACGAGATCGACGCTCCGATCCTGCACACTGCCGAGACCACGCTGCCCAACTTCCGCAACTGGTCGCTGGCGCTGGGCCGCCGGTTCCGCGCGCTGAAGCTGTGGTTCGTGCTGCGTCTGTACGGGGTCAGCGGGCTGCAGGAGTACATCCGCGGACACGTGCAGCTCGCCGGGCAGTTTGAGGAGCTGGTGAGGCGTGACGAGCGGTTCGAGGTGGTGGCGCCCGCCTCGATGGGCGTGGTGTGCTTCCGCGTGCGCAGAGGGGGAGACTCCGCCACGGAAGAGCTGCTACGCCGGGTGAACGACGCCAAGAAGGTGTTCATCGCGAAGACGACGCTGGCCAACGGAGCGCTGGCGGCGCGCTTTGTGGTGGTGTCGCGGGTGACGACCGCCGAGGACGTGGTCACCTCCTGGGAGGAGATTCGCCGGCACGTGCAGCCGAGTCAGGAATGGAGCGAGGCGGCCGTGGAAGGGGAAGAGGCTGTGACCCAGGAGGACAGTATAGTGACCAAGGAGGAAGATTCAGCCCAAGAGCAAAGCCACATGACAGAAAATGTTGGAGCCCATCCTGCGGTACACGAGAAGGAGCTCGATGGCAGCGCCAGTGACACTGGAAGGAGCGCCACCTGCGGTGGTGTCTCCTGAGAGAGGAAAGCGATTGTATGTAGTATAGGTGTTGCGAGTTTGTGACCTGCCAATAATACTGTCTATGAGCTCAGCGTATTCCATTTTTTATCGATATAACATATGACAGTGAAAACCCATGCTTTTGCGAGTTGTCGTAAACAAATAATCTGATTTTGATCCGAAGAATCCGACGCGGATGAGGTTTTTAGCCTCAAGAGGTCATGGCCTGTATACCTATATACCAAAACCGTTCGCATGAACGTGACTCCCGCTGAGTCCTGACGGTAGACTTAAAAAAGTTCTAGCACAGCGCGATTTCGAGGCGGGAATGTTCGCCAAAAGCTGTTACTTAAGCGTCACATTTGAATGGTCCCCACATGATTTCTTCATGTCCAGTTATCTATCACGCAGGCGGCTTAGGCAGAAACGGAAATTGATACATACAGATTGGTGCAACTTTCACTATCAATTAGCTTCTATTAAATGCCTATACATTTTAATATTGATATACGTAAGAAGTCGCGAACTATTTCTGACATCATCTGTTAGCGGGAATAAGATACGGCCTCAAATGCAGTTTTTATATTTGTCATAAAGGAAATTCCGCCGATATGATCTAGGGACTGCTCTGCTCGGTTTATAAATTAGGTATAAGGTCCCTATCTAAAGTCGGCTTCATAAGGCAATCTTATAATAAGGACAAATTATATACCTAATATATCCGTCACTGTTAGATAGCGCAGAAGCTTTATCGAACAGGAACAGTCACGACCCCTAAAAAACAGAGCCTGGAAAGTCAGAACCTGCATCGGAGCTTTGAGTCTTTGTACCCAAAGAGCACGGATCATGCTCTGAAGTCTGAACATCACCAGGCAATGCTAGTCGGAGGACCTGTGCTATGCTGACGGCCGCCGCGGCTCTGTTCTGTGTCAGGCTGTGCTGCATAGCAGCGGCTGCCCGCCTGGCTCTCTGGATCTCACCCGCCCGTGACCTTGCACGTGCCGTTCACACGCACACTGCACGCGTGGAAGGACGCGCGACTTGTCAGCTCCTGGAAAAGGGATTAGCCGAGGAGTTCAGTAAACCTTTACCGCATACATAAGACACTTGGGAGGTCAGTTATCATTGGGTGCTGGGCACTGGGTAGCTATGGGAGAAGGATCTAGGTGCTAATGTCTGAAGGCCTCATTTTCAAAGTCGAACGCATTGAAGTCGGACCGTGGCAATGATTCAGATGAATTCATGATTTGTTACGAAAACAGTACCAACTGCATATTCGGAGAATATTTTCCGTTGCATGTGCAATGCTAAACAGAGGGGAAATATGCCAGCCGTATCAAATAGGAACAACAGCAAACCCCTCCTAACAGGTAACACCGCAGGGCTGAGAGACATTTCTTACAGTACATAGTTGGTATGACTGTGTGAGCTATCCGAGAGATTCTCAGACTCCGTCTGCTGGCGCTTTGTAAGACAGCTGAGGTCTCTGCACTCCCGGTTCGGGAAGTCCCGACACATTGAGCCCGAGTGCAGGACTGATCCGGGATCTGCCAGCAAACCAGCTGACGTAGCCAGTCGAGCAGACTCTCTTTGGGCATATTAGACGCTTCCGCACTGGCACTGAGAAGTAGACAGCCCGGGCCGCTTTATGCATGCGTGGAGAATATTGATATTCATCCTGGTGATTTGATTTTATGAAGTTACTTGGCATTAGTTTTCAAGGCTACTTCACATAGCCCTCGCCGGGCCGGACCTATTGGTTTTCTACATACGCGCCGGCCGAGGGTGGAGGGGGGGGGGACGACCCCCATAGCCGTTTCGCCCCTGATGGAGCTAGCGCGTCGCAGAAAAAACGAGCGTGTGCACCGTTACGAGACGTAGAGATTGATACCCGAGTTTAAGGTTCTAGGTCAACCGGTGACCTCTGAGGTCAGGTCAAGTGCCCTAAGGTACGGTTCCGTTTTTGGCGAATAACTTCGCAAAAAACGACCGCAGAGACGCGATTTTGACAGCATCGTGTTCGGCACGCTCAGGCGCGTCGAATGATATACTTTTGGTTTGGGTGAGGTCAACTTAGAGCGTTGACCTCGGGTCACGGTCAGGTCAGCGCCCCCAGGTCACGAAATTAGTCAAAGGAGGTCATGATGCCTATCATTTGATTCAGCAGGTCTTCCCGAGTCCATTGGTGGCTTTCCCGACTCGCTAGCTCAATTTGATTGGGAGTTATTGACGAAAAACTAATATGATCCGATTTACGTCATAAATGACGTCACGCAAGGTCAACATTGCAAAAATGTCGCATCGAACCTTGCAAAGAGCGCATGAAATCACCATTCCGTGTGCTTGAGATAGTTGGAGATCGTTCCCAGCGCCAGAAAAGCAGTTTTCATTTCTCCCCATTGACTTATAGGTAATGGTGAGGCCGCGAAAATGACCTGACCTCATATGACCTTTAGGAAAAATCCGAGATATACAAGCTGGGAGACTTCTTAATGCATACTAGGTCCTGCAAGTTTCATTTCCCTGTGAAAGCTCCTCTGGCAATGAGGGCGTTGCGAAGTTGCGGCATCTGAAGATCGTGCAGAGGTTTAGGTACTTATGACGTCATAGGTCAGTGACCTGACCTGACCCGAAAATGCGGTTGGTGTCAAAAGATCCGACTTGAATCAAAGGTCAGGTAGGTATGCCAAGTTTCAGCTCCTCTCTATCGCCGGCGTGTTCGAAGCTATCGCGAAAAACCCTATGGGGGGGGGGGGGGCACCCCCCCTCGGCGGGCGAGGGATAGATAATAGCTCAAACTTTTTGCATTTATATTCCCAATGTTTACTCATATATGAATTAATTAGAGCTCGGCTATATTTTCCCGTTTACCCGTGTTTTCCGTGCGGAATGTGATTGCTGAGCGCGATATTATGCCAGAGTTGCATGCATAAAGGATCCGTCTATACCTCGGCGAGATCCAGCAATATGAAATCACAACCTAGAACAAAACCAGACAACCAAGGGCCTCGTGGCGACACGGATGTGCCCGCGATCCATCAGTATCGCTGCAGCCGACGTCACCGACAGTGGAGGCCCACGGACAGGCCCGTATCGAGGATAGGATCCGACCCCCTCCTCTGCCCGGAGCTGCAGCCTTGACGCCGCCTTACCCCCTGAGTGCTGAGTGCCCCTGTTCGGCACCGCGCCGGAGCGCAGCCCTGTCGACCGGGCGACCGCTCCAGTATTTGCATGCTGGCTGCCTGCCCACAGCTGAGGCCGCTCCGGTATCTGAGGGCTTCATCTGGCCAGCAGCTGTGCCAGCCGCCCTGATCTGCAGCTCCCCCGTCTGTGGTGTCCCTGGATCGGCCCCGGATCGGAGGCTGAGGGACGACACGAGGGCGGCGAGGATACCTACTCCTCCCAAAGATGTCGCAATAGGCGGGTCGTGGAGGCGCCGTCCTTATGCTTGTGAGTGAGACTCACATCACTACTTTTAAATAGCACTCGGTCTGTATTCGGTCTGTATTACGTTAGAATAGATTAGGTCTTTTGAAAAAAAAAATAGGATAGCTCATGAGAGCCGAGGTCCGAAAGGCCGAAACGACGTGAGCTGAGTGACAGAAGCCAGTTTTTAGCGCCCCAGCTTTTAATTGAGCATTCATAGGCCGTAGGCGATAAAGCAGGCCCCGAGCGACATGCTGGTCCGTCACTGGCCAGAGCCTCGGCCCGGCCGACGGACCGCCTGACCTTGACAGGATCTCCATCACATGCACCAGTTCACAATCCGCGCCGATTATGCATTTGGGAAAAACGTGAGCGGGACGCAGCTGTGTGGACCAAAGAAGCGCCCATTACAGCACTGTTGGCCGTGAAATGGGCCAGATATCTACGAGATGGGCGGGTCGGGAACGCACGAGTGCGCTCTGCCGGGGAGATCTGAGCCACTAGGGACGGCCCGTGGCCCCGTGGGGCGAGGTGCGGCCGAGCTCTGGACGCATGAGCTCTGATCAGATTGCCGGGAGGAATGTCGGCGCTCGGTAAGAATAAGCGGTGCGCCACACTCGTCGGGCAGGCCCACCGCGGCCAAACGCGAAGGTGCTCAGCCGACCAAGGTGATCTTCAAGTCGTAAGCGCGGATTGTGCACCTGTCTGGGAGCTGGCAGTGCGCTCAGGGGCGACAGGGCGTGCAATGTGCATGCAGTGCCGGGTTGCTGTAGGACTGGGAGTCTGGGAAGTGGCGGTATGTGTCACCATCGTCATCCTGGTATAACCTTAGCTGCTGTGAGGCTTAGACCTAGTCATGGTCACGGTTATGTGTGCAATGTCCATTTATGTGTACGCGGTCTCTACCATTTATGCTATTGTCACTAAATTGATGAGAATTTTTTCCAGGAAAAATAGCATCCATTCGTATCTATTGATGGTCCGTTTTACGACAGAAGTAAATAGGTAGGTATATACATACATACAAACGCCTATCAGCCATAAAACTCAGCCCCGATCTAATTTGTCCAACGTTCCATTACCAGGATACGACGGTGAACAGTCACATACCGATTGTGATTGACCACAGGTGATCCAGTTGGCAGCCCTGCAGCAGCTGATGCCGCTGCCATATGGGGCCCAGAGCGAGAGCGCGGCATCTCTCTGATGATGTGTGTCATGTGCCAGTCAAAGATCAGCTCAGTGACAAGCCGCATTCCACAAAATCACAACACCGTCGAATGCGGGTCACGGTCTCCAAACCACGATCAGATCAGTTATCGACATGGATGCTGTACCCAGTACCTTCGAATCTGCAGATTCTGCACTGAACGAGCTGTCGTCTAAGTAGACATTTGTCAATGGCTTACCAGTTACCTTGCACAGTCCTGCTACCCCCTAAAAACAATAGACAGTGAAGGCATACCGAATACATTATCCATGCGTTATCTCGTCAAGTGTTCTGTGTCCCCACTTGGGTACAGGTGTATAGCCCTGCTGAACTTGCCCTAACGATCCGTAAGTGAACGTAATAGTCGGCGTCCTTTTTGTTA